GAGGTCTAAGGGAGACAGAAATGGCAATAGTGGATGAATTAGTTTCCCTTTTAGGGCCGACCTTTCTGGATCAGTCTTGTGTGGATAATAGAATTTGGAAACCTTCTCTATCTAGTGTTTTCACTTTTTCATCTTTCTTTAATGTCCTCATTTAATCAAATAACCTTGCAAGGAACTTTCCATCAAAGGAGGTATGGTGTAGCCCTGTACCCCCAAAAATTTGGGCTTTTTGTTGGGAGGAGGTAGTTCTTCAAAAAATCAATACTCTGGATGTGTTGCAAAGAAAAAGGCCAAATTTCTGCCTTTCACCCCATGTTTGTAGCCCTTTTTTGGGTTCTGGTGAGATGATCGGACACCTATTAATATCTTGTCCTTTTGTGTACTTTATTTGGTCTTGGTTCTCTTCTCTCTTTGTTTGCAGGTGGACACCTCCCCCGGATGTGATAAGCCTTTTTGACCCAAGCTTTTTCATTCAACCAAAGAGGCGTGGGAGATTTATGTGGAGAGCCACAAGAGTAGCAATACTCTGGTCAGTTTGGGAAGAAAGAAATAACAGGATCATTAAAGGAGTGGAGAAATCCAAGGAGGCAACTATAGATAGAATAACCATTATGACTATCCATTGGTTGAAAACTCTAGATTTGTTTAAAGATTTCTCAGCTGAGGTCCTGAGGACATATTTAGGAATTGGGGAGTGGTGGCAGCTACAACATCTATAAAACCTATTGTGCTGGAAATGTGGTCCCCTCCAACACAACAAAGAATAAAGTTGAACTTTGATGGGAGCTCTAGAGGTAACCTAGGGCCTTCAGGTATAGGGGGAGTATTCAGAGATGGAAATGGGAGAATTGTTGCTATGTTTTCTGGGCCAATAAGGGTGGGAGACTCACTGAGAGCAGAAGTGATGGCTCTGCTTCAAGGTGTAAAATATGTCAAGCAATTGGGGTTACACCAAATGGAGATAGAAGGAGATTCTAAATTGTTAATGGACTGGCTGCAATCAGGCATGTTGGGAGCATGGATGTACTGACAGCCCATATGGGAAATTCTCAATATAACAAGGGAGCTTGATGCAGGTTTCAAATGGATAAGAAGATCAGCTAATGGTTTGGCTGATACCTTAGCCAAACAAGGGACAGTGAGGGAAAGCTTGTTATGGGCAGTTCTGTAATTCAAATTACTTGGGCCCAACTCCTATCTTAGGGGTTGGCAATTGTATCTTAATTTTATAGTAATGAAGTTACCGTTTCCAATAAAACAAAAGAAAGCAGAAGTAGCATAGTATTCTTGTATTTTCTTTTCACCTTGAGTATAAGAAAAAATTGTCTCGATTTGATATTGTTGGGACATGTTGGACTGTCGATACACCTTTTCCATATGGGTGAACATTACATTAGCAGTCTGGAAACTTCTCATCGGAATGGCAATGTCAGTTTCAATCGAACCAAGAAGCCAAAATACAACTTTGGCATTATTGATTTTCTATTGTTTCAACCCTTTGGAATCAGATTTCACCAGGTTGCTTTGTGGTGCCATCAACATATCCCCAAAAATCATTCCCTTCAACAAAGAATTGAAAACGGACTTCTAGAATGCATGATTAGTCCCATCGAACTTCATAGGCAGAATGTCTCTTTTCTCTAAGGCCATTTCAGTAGAATGATTTAAGAAAACTCAAGGAAAAATAAGAGAACAAGGCAACTGCCCCACCAATACAGACCAAAACATGGTAACTATAGAGATGATGGGCCGAATGGGCCTTAGTTTCTTTATTTTTCTTCAAGTTATGTTTATGACTTGTGTTAGTAGGTAGTGGGCGCTAGTTATGGGCCTGCTTTTCCTTTTTTTATTGTTTTTTTTTATTGTTGTCTTTAGTGATGGACGCCCTACTAAGGGCACTCATGTAATTGTCCTTAGTTTTTACAATAAAAGAATAAAAGAGATGATTGGGGGCCGAAGAGAGGTTGGAACTTTCTCTCTTCTTCCCTCCCTTTTTTCCTCCTTTACTTTTCTCTCTCCCATCTTCTTCAATATTATTCTCTATTGTTGTTTTTTTTTTTCTTTATTTTAGATTATTGTAGGTGGGATCTACAACTTGGTATCAGAGCGGCTGTCTGGCCTTCTCTTTTCTTCTTCTTAATCCCATACATAGGTTGTATGGAGAGTTGATTGGTTCATTGATTAACAAGTATTCAGCCCAGTTAGAGGAGGTTTTTGGAGAAGATTTTTTTTTTTTTTTTTATAATTGATTTTTGGAGAAGATTGCAATGCTGGTTTGGGGCCCAAGGCATGTTCTTGGAGAGTTTCTCGAAAACCCTAACCCTAATTAACTGGAGAGCCTTTTGATTACGGGGTATAGAGGGAGTCTAGAAGTGGTGCTTGGGGATACAATAGAAGCATTCTAATTATCTTTGAGATCGATCCAAGTTGGAAAAGTTTTTGTCTTTTGGAAGCCTTTAGTAGAAGCGGCCAGACTTTCTCCCTTTCTCCCATTTTGCTAGGCCCGGTGAAAACCCTAATTTGGTTGTTTGAAGAGCAGTTTTTGACTTAGAACGGTAAGTCTTGACTAGTAACACCCTATTTTGATTTTTGTTTATCTTCGTTTGGACAATGGAGTGAATTGGAGGTGAGATGAAACTCTCCACCAATTCTGGGTTTGGTCTAGGAGGGTTTGTGGAGTCTCTGTAGGGACAGTAACCTTAGTAAAGTTGGATGGAACCAATTTTTTTAGCTTGGTATCAATCTATAAAGATTCATGTTTACAGTAGAGGAATGGGGGTACATCACTGGAACCAAGAAGAAACCTGCAGAGGATGACCCTACCTACAAGTCTTCTCTAGGTTGTCTTCTTCACAAACTCCATGACTCCAGGTTGCTTCAGCCTTCAAAAGTTTGAGTCTGAAGTCTACTTCTGAATCTTTAATCTAGTCTCCTTCCTCTTCTCCATACACCTCTTGTTGGTTCCTGCTTCCTTTTCTTTTGCATTTTTGGTGATGTGCTATGAATGTGGTCTTAGATGGTTCACTAGATATTGTTGTTTAGAGAGAAATTTATGGTTTGGCAGTGGTTTGCCTGTAATTGAATATCTTACACTCTATATATGGTTGGATGTAAAATTTATTGAAAAATACTTATTTTAGAAAAATATTAATTTTCCAGTATGATTGCCAGTAAAACACCAAGGGAAGCAATATAGTATCCAAAGCTAGAGTGAGAATGGGGTAAAATGACTTTACCTAAATCGTGGATGAGATTATGGCCTTTACATATAAAAGTTCTATTGTATCACTGCCTCCTTAAATCATTCCCATCCATTTTAACTTCTGATTTCATCGGAGTCTCTCCTTTATGTAAGCCTAAAATTTATTAGTTGATTTGGTTCCATAAAATGTGCCTAGCTCTGATTATGTTTCCTGGTATACTCAATTATTTGACCTTCTTCATCTTATGTAGCCTAATCCTCATTTCAATGTGGGATAATGAAGTTGCATTTGTTAATCCCTTATTCAAGGGGGTCTGTTTTGAGTTGATTTTAGATGAAGCATCCCCAAATTTATTCTTCTTGAAGCTAAAGCTAAGAATCAAGTGCTGACATTCTAGCTCTGACATGAGTTTCTTTGATAAATATGAGTGGTTTTTATGACTGCACAGAAAGAGCTAAGGACATAAAAAATTTCACATAATGAGAAACATTGCACCTTTAGAGATAAAGATGAAGAAAAGAAGGAAAAAGATCACATGCTTGCCCACAGATAAATTCAAAATAAATTGGCACCTTTAAAACAAACATGTATTCCATTATCATCTTAAAATTCAAGTGCAATGACTATTTATAGACTTAACATAAGGGCTTGGACCAATTTTGGCTCAAAAAACTACAAGATAGAACCAAGGTATACTAAGTATTTGATATTTTAATATAACCAGGGGGTAGGCCTTGCTACGACCGCCCCCAGTAAAATTTTGAAAAAAACAACTAAAAAAATATAGAGCATGTTGGTCAAAACTCTGATACATACATACATGCAAGGTGCCAACCAACTGGGATCTCCTGCTGGTTGTAGAGGAGATTTGGGATCAAATCCCGCCTGCACCTGAGTTGGGGGATGGGCTACTCCCCCGTTGTGTAGCCTTCAAAAGAAATAAAAAAAACCCTGATATATTTGTTTCAATGTAATGGGGTGTATCAATATTTTGAACCTTGGATAGAACTGCTAATTGCTCTTGGACTAAGGCAAACCCATAGGTAACGCATGAAGACCTTCAAAAAAGAATATATATTTTATGGGTACACTTGAACAAGGACTTAAAACTCCTAAGATAACTCTAATGACACTCTACGAATCCTATATTACAACTAAATAACTAAAAAACAATTTCAAGATAGATCCAAAGAAAGACCTAAATCGCATTACAAATTGACCTCCTGCTAAAATGGCCATAACACCATCAAACCACATGGATTTACAGGATCTTGGCCTTGTTGAATAGATAATTCAATTACTATTTAACAACAGTGAAGTCGAACAAAAGAAAAGTTTTGACCCTTAAACTTCTAAAATCTCTCTAAGTTAATATGACTCTTTAACACCCTCAAATTGACACCCTGCTAAAATGGTCATAACACCCTCAAGCCACATGGATTTACTGGATCTTGGCCTTGTTGAATAGATAACTCAATTACTATCTAACGACAGTGGAGTCAAACAAAATAGAAGTTTTGACCCTTTAAATTCTAAAATCTCTTTAAGCTAGTATGATTCGTTAAGACAATCTTATGTCAGGGTGATTAATAAGTAATAAACCAAAAATAACTTTGAAAAGTTCATAATATACCAAAATCTCAATGCCAAAATAGAAGTTCCCTTGCTTCTATGCCTGCATCAATACATTTCATGGTTACCAAACACATTCATACCTGTTGGGTAGGGGGGGTCTGATTTTTCTATTTTGCATGCGCTTCGTATAACTGACATTTTCCTGTTGTTATTTATAACAAGGCAGTATAATGGGTGTATCTGGAAGGGAGGGAGGCTGAGACTTGAGAAAGCTAAAGAGCATTATCTTGTTCGTTTGCAACGAGAATGGGCAGAGGCTGCTGAGCTCTCAAGTTGTGTACCAAATAATAACATTGATGAAGATAACAACATGGGCTCATCAAGGAAGCCAAAGAAGCTCCTGACACCAGAGAAAATGCAGCTTCGTATTTTCTTTCCTAGATTGCAAAAGGTAAGCTCCTATACTTTGTGTAGGTGTCAAGTCATTGGCAGAATTTTTTGAGAAAATTTCAATTCTCATTCTCTCTCTCTCTCTCTCTCTCTCTCCCCTCAACTCCATGTGCATGTCTGCAGCCATTAGTTGCCAGTTACCACTTAGATTTGGTGCTTATAGGCTCAATTCTCTCATGGTGACATGCTTGAAAATCATTTCCTTTGCGTATTCTGACCTACTCAGTGCAGGTTAAATCATTGCCTTATGGTGGAACTGGCAAGCACAAGTACAGTTTCCAACGTGTTGATGTTCCTTCTCTGCCAATTCACTTTTGTGACTGTGAGGAACATCTTAATGCTTCTGAAATTACAAATGGAAACCGTGGTACTCTTGAACCTGAAAGTGGAGTTATAGGCAAGGAAGAGTTGAATATGATGACTTTGGTTATGAACAAGCTTTTCAAGAGGGAGTATAATCTCAATTGTACAACTGAAAATAGCGTGAACAGATTGGGTAATGGAGCCAATTCTGATCAACTGGTTGATGATGTGGCATTTAATGGAAGTGAAGCAGATGAAGAAACAGATGTAGATAACCTTGTGATGAACATGGTAACTAGCAGAAATGATGGAATAGGCTTGACTGCAAGTCGGACAAAGAGAACTCCTTTAACTGAGCTGGTAAGCTAGTTTCAAACTATTGAGTACAATTATCCTTGGCATTCATCCATAGAATTTATGTAATCTAAATCTAAATGAAACAAATTCTACTTCCATTGCTTCATGCATGCTAAAACAAGTAATATTTTTATCTATTGTTCTTTTATTTCCTTCTAACCTGTTTCTTGATATGCAGGGATCAAAAGTTAGACAATCCCAAGCTTCTAAAAATGAGCCAACCCAGAAAGCATTCAAACCTCGGAAATTGAAAAGGAAGAATGGTGGACATGATGATTCAGATCTAACTACAAATAAGAAATCACATTTACTTCCAGAAGACGAGAGTCATCAAGATGATTTTGCATCCATCAGAACTGAAAAGAAAGGTCACTCTAGAACCTATTCTGAAGAGGCTGAACGCCTTACTGAAGCTCAGTCTGTCAAGCTACTTGAATCTGCATTTAATAAATCTGCAGAGGAAGTTAACTCAGAAACTCGTTCAACTGAGCCAGGGGCTGTTGCTGAAAATCAGTCTAGCAAGCCAAATACACAGTCAACCAGAGGTCTTTCATGGGTACAGAAGTCCTCATGGAGAGAACTGGTAGGTGAGATGGGCAACAGTTCATTCAGCATTTCACACATTTTGCCAGCAATTCCTTCCATCATACAAGAACCAAAAAAGCCAGATGGCATGAGCACTTCTCACTTCACTGAGATCAGACACCAAAGTACCGTAGATCAGGCAAGAAACAAATATACTGGGGACAGTTCTAAAGCTTCAGGAATTGGGAAGGATGGAATTCCCAAGGACAAGGTTACAGCTCCCGGTGGCTCCTCTATGATGCCTTCGAGTGAAAAAGAGGTGACAATCTCCAGTTTGGAAGCAGTCCAAAGTGCTTCAGAGAAAAACAAGCAGATTGTCAAAGATGAAAATAATAATACCAAAACTTCAGAAAAGAAATCCAATTGGATACCAAAGAAAAGATCTTTAGGAGAGGCTGGCATTGCCGAATTTTGCACCTTCATGAAGAGTGCTGTTTCAGAAAAGGAGTGGATGAAAACTAGAGCTGCTCTTAGCGGGTCCTTAAAGAAGAATGGTCAGAAGTAATAGGATTCCTCCAAACGTGTCTAAAAGTTGAGAAGTGGTGGCACAGTGCTGACTGAGAGAATTGAGAAGGAAATTACATTCAATCAAAATTATGTCCCATTATTTGTTATTCTTGAACACCAATTTTAAAAATTCGAGTAATGTCACAAAGAAATCCAGTTCTGCTATCTAGGTTTTCATAAATTTCCATTATCTAGGTTAGCCAACTTACAACTGTGCATTATTGTTTAACCGGAAAGTTAATTTTTCCAGGCTGTTTCACTCCTTTGAGATTGCCATATTGCAATACTCGTAAAAGAATCTCTGGAATTATCCAGCGGAGGGAATCGGATTAAATTTCAAAAAATCAGAACGAATAATCAAAGTTTCTCCTGTTGGCACAGCAGACTACAGACACTCGTGTACATGCTAATTTTCTGTATATTTTTTCGTGAAGGATATTCTGGGTTATTAGTTCATGTGATTGGAATTCACATGCTGCAAATGCAAGTCAATTACTTGGATAATAGACAAGAATTTAATAATCTGCTCAAACTAGATTGTTCTTGGTGTCACTTCTGGAAGAAGTTTGGCTTTCTACATTCAACAGCTTTGTGCTGTCCACATGGCTCTCCCTTTGCGTGACTGAGTTTGGAAGGAGTACAAATGCAATATGTAGAGTGCAAAACTTTATATTTTGTATTATTTTGTATATATATTTACGCTGTACATATTTGCAGTTGTACTCTTTCCAAACTGAGCCTATGAATTCCATGCCACAATAACAGTGCGATGGATAGGGCCGTGCTGGGTCACGCTTAGCAACCCTATATATATTATTTATTTGTTAATTTCAAGGTGAATGCAATCTAATAATGATTGAAAGCAATAATGTGAAATGCAGAAAATACAAAGAAAACAAGATTGAGACTGAACATTAGCAAGAAATAACAAAAACGAATGTAGAACAAGAACATACATAGAATTTATAGAGGTTTGGCCAAACTCGGTCTATGTTCTATTTTTAGGCAACTTCTTGAGATTTTAACTATGCTACTTAGATCAGTTGGACTTATAGTGCCAATAAGACCTTATATTGTTCAATATCAGAACATCCAATTACATTCAATTAGAACATTATTAGCTAATCAAATACAAGTGTATAAATGATAAGCAATGAAATGCCTCTTCAAGGTTGATATGCAAATACAAAATAAACTATTTAAATGCAAGATAATGGATAATAAAATATGGGCTATAACACTAGACTTAAGCTTCTTACTAAAAACCAATTTTAGCACAAATGGATATTCAACTTTTTTTACAAAGATGAAACTCTTTTTGCTTAGAATCTTTTTACTCTCTTTTCTCTTTTGCTTTTACCCTCTTTCTCAGAACCTTTTTGCTCAATTCACTTTGCCACAATATTGGAGGCTTATGAGAAGAGTAAAGATCTATTGAGCCTTCAAACAACAAAAAAATTGATATTTCATTGTGAAGCAAACTATTATGACCAAGTAGTTAATTACTTCATCATGTTCCAGGTAAGAAATAGACTATTAAGACCAAGTAGTAGATAATTACTTGCAAGAGAATCTCTTTTCTCTAGTAATCAACTACTACCTTTTGGTAGTCGACTACTAGGTAAAATTCAAGCTTGGTTGTTATACTTACTCAACTACTAAGTGACACTAGGCTTGGTTGTCAGCTTGTCACAACTAGTCAACTACTACCTTTTACCTTTTATGTAGTTAACTACTAAGTAACACCAAGCTCAGCTATCATAGTTAGTTGACCATTAAGAGTAACCTAACTTTAGATCACTCAAATAGGCGGCTCTTATGGTTTGGGAGTTAAATCCTTAGGCTTCCAAAAATTTTGGTAAAACCGAGATAGGTATGAGTTTAGCCCATTGTTGTTCTTCCTTACAATCTAATTACATTAAGTCCTAATGAACGTAATAAATTTCTAGCTCTAGAAATTCTTGCATATATATAAGAGTAGGCATGCATTCTCTGAATAACCTTCAGTCCATCCAAGGGGATGATTAGTATGTCCATACATATTTCAAATTGCAAGGTAGTGGAGATGTTGGTCTATACCTTGAAAGTTTGAGGAGTTGGTCAGTTAAACTAACAGATAGCAAAGGGAGAGATAATGAAGAAAGAGAGGAAATTGGTTAGAAGTCCTCAAAACTGGGTATGGGACTCCTATTTTGTAGAGTTTGGATGAGATGCATTCTAGGAGCTTCTTGCACTAGAACTTTCTTACTCTTTTCCTTTCTGGTTTTATCCTTTATTCTGGAATGCCTCTTTACTTATTTAATGCACATGTTTAATTAACATTCTAGAATACTCATGGCCTAAACTGAATGCTTTGTTCTTCTAGAATATTTTAGCACATGATGTCTAACACTTGGACTTCTAATTGATTGGTCAAAGAAATGGTCCAATCTGACACGGTTTCAGCCTCAGTCAGTCGGGTCCACATAATTAAGCAATGTCATCCTCTTACATTAGCCCCCCTGCTCAGCTTTGGTTGCTTGCAAACCATGCTGAGCAAAACTTTGTTATTCACAGTGTACCAATCTTTGATGTGAGAATGCCATGAGTTTGTTTTATGAGCTTATAAGTTGGGCATGGTAAAGCGAATTTGTGTACTATGGATTCATATTGCCCTTAGAACGACGCTTATACTTGTGCAATGCCATTCTCTTACATTAGCCCCCTGATCAACTTTGGTTGCTTGCAAATCACACTGAACACAACTTTGCTATTCATCGTTTATAGATCTTTGATGTGAGAATGCCATGAGTTTGTCTTATGAGATTAAAAGTTGGGTACTTCATATTTCCCTTAAGAATGATGTTTTTTTGCTTGCTTTTGGGTAAGTTTTCTTACCAATCTAAGCATAACTTTTGCTTTTATGTTGTTTGGTGTACAATGTTTGGACTTAACTGTAAATTTGATTGCCTTTGATATGGTACTCTTGCAATTGTTTTGCAGTACAATGTTTGGACTTTGCACATGTGGTGCTCTTGCAGTTTGCTTGTGGTTCTAGCATTTTTTACTTCTTTGGTAACTATTAGCCCCCAAAATTCCAAAGAATTTTACAACTGATTAGCCTCCAAAATTTTGAGGAATTTTTATAATGATTAGTGTCTAAAATGAGGTCAAAATCAACCCCACGTTTTCTAAAAGTTCAAGCAAAATTAGCCTCCAAATTTTCTGAAAATTTATGCAAAACCAACCTTCGAATTTTCTAAAAATGTAAGCAAAATCAGTTCCCATTTGTTTGGAAGGGGTCGCCCCCTAGTATTGGTGGGATAGCATTAAGGGGGTGTTCTTTTTTCGGATTTTGAGAGAGGGGAAAGTTGGTAAATGGGATTTTGGTTCCCATTGACCGAGAATCCCATGTTCATTTTTCAGATTTATGTGAGGACCAGTGAAAGTTTATTTTCTTGGGTATCACTTATCCGGTTAAGTACTCATCTCTTAGGTGGGTAAATAACATTCCCACTTAGGGGAAAGTTGCTAACACTTGAATGGAACAAAAATAACCATTTTAATAATGGATTTTTATGGCTAAAAAATCCGGATAAGTGTTTCACAGGATAAGTGTTTACCTAGGAAATCCGGATAAGTGTTTCACAGGATTTTTATGGCTAAAAAATCCGGATAAGTGTTCACAAAAATAACCTTATTTACCTAGGAAATAAAAGAACATGTGTAAACAAACTTACCCGGATAAGTGTTTCACAGGAAAAATTTACCTAGGTAATTGCATTTACCTGGATAAATAACTTAAGGAAAAGCAAGCAGGGCCTAAATGTTTCTGAAAATTTAAGTAATGTTGGGCTATGAATATTAGATGTTTCATGTGGTAGTGTGGGATTGCATATCATAACCAAGTTATGAGGCTGAATTGGCGAAACTAAGTATACAATTTGGGGACTTGTGTTGTGTGGGAATATGGCATGGAATATACGGTATTGAATCATACATCATGGGAATATGGCATGGAATTCACTAGTGCTGATCGAATGTGTAATGTTGTGACTATTAGTATGAGTGTGGGAATGATTATTTGTACTTGAATAAGTGATGACCATGCGCATATGCAATGCTAAGTACGGAATGTGCTGAGTATGAATGTGAATATAATCATGTATATATATAAGTGCGAATAAGGAGGTATTTGCTTCTGAAATTTTTTTTCACTAAAATACCCATCCTCTTGAATTTAATTCATCTTCATTGAAAGGACAGAAGATGTAATTAAAATAATACCATTAAGTACATTCGATTACCTCTCATTAAGCCTCACATTTAAATCATTAAATAAATCACATTCTTTCTCTTTAAATCCAAAATTTATACTTTTGTTTATCATCATTAAATTCTACTAATATATCCATACACAATAGTTATTAATAGAATGAAATTTTATATTTTTAAAATAAACATAGAAATGAAATCATATTTTTCATCTAGGTGGTGGGTAAGTAGTTCAATCATTTGGGTCAAATAGATAATTTTATGATGTCATAAATAAATAATACAAATTTAGAAATATAAAAAAATACTTCTATTTCTCATCATTAAATTCCACTAATAAATCCATACACAATAATTATTAATAGAATGAAATTTTATATTTTTAAAATAAACCTAGAAATCAAAATCATATTTTCCATCTAGATCGTGGGTAAGTACTTCAACTATTTGGGTCAAATGGATAATTTCATGATGTCATAAATAAATAATACAAATTTAGAAATATAAGAAATACAAAAAATATAGAAAAAAAGGAAATTTTGAAAAAAATTGGACACGTTTCTATTATTATATATTTTTCATATTAAAAAGTAACTATAATAAAATATACATAATTTTATTAATGATGGACATCAAATATACAACTTAAAACCGATGGGAAATTAAATCATCTTCCTATCTAGGGGTTGGATTAGTAGTTCAACCTTTCAAGTCAAATAGGTTAACCCATGATGTATAATTAAAAATTAAAATTTTAAAATAGAATAGTAGAAAAAAATATGAAACAATTTTGGGAACATCTATAATATTATATACTAATAATATAAACAAAAATAAGTATGATAAACAATAATTATTTTATCAATGATATAAATGAAATGCAAAATTTAAACCAGTTTGAAAATGAAACCATTTCCATATCTAGATGGTAGGTAGGTCAATGATCTAACATTCTAGGTCAAATGGATCAATCTATGATGTCATAACTAAGTAACGAATATTAAATACATACATACA